GTGATGGCGGTGCGCACAATGGCGGAGGCCGTGACAATGTATTTAGTCCTCGAAGATTGAAACCTTTCGATCCTGGCGAACGCGGACATTATGCTTAAGACTGTCGTCTCTGAAGTGGCGAACCAGGAGGTCAGAAAGGTAGGGGAAGGCTTGATGGCCGAGGTCCATGTTGGATCATAGAAGTTCTTCACGAAGTCGGAGTCGTTAATACAGCTGAAGTCTGTCTCAGCCCTATGATTTACTTCTTTTTGAACTCTAGAAATATTCCCAAATAGGATGAAATGCACGTTCACGATGCTGTTGTTTGCTACTACTAGCTATGTATCAGTGTTGAATTAGTGAGAAATGAGTATCTAGATTGCATAAACGTAGCCATCTATACAACTTAACTATTAGCATAAGACATTTACAGTGAATCGATAGTTGATACTGAATACAGGTTTTATACAGATTAGTGTTTATCATGATAATATCCTTCTCTCTGAGATTCAAATGTTTGTTTCAAGGTTAAAAAGTCACAGCTGACGGTGTATAGATACTCATTGTTCGTTTATCATGAGTGATTAGCCAACGATACTATTGGAATACAGAATGGTAAATAATAAATTAGAAAGTGTATTTTTTTCACTAATTGAACTATAATCTTTCCATCAAATTATTTTAACAATATTCCTTAGATAACAAACAATAACAATTAATAGAAAAAGAATGATTTAATTCAATTAAATGATGCACAAAAACACAAACATTTTACTGATAGCATCGAAGAGAAGGATACACTATGTTTATGATACAGAAAAGTTTAGTAAACTGAAAGTCAAACCCCTATCGATCAAAATCTAGAAGGCATGACGAAAGCAAAACCTAAGACACTGATCGACTTACTGATGATAAGCAGAAATCAGTAAGTGATGTGCTATTATTGTTGCTCTTCAATAACTTATTGATTTAAAAAAAAAACTAATTTATCTCTACATGCATAAACAAAATCGGTAAGATGTTAAACGTAGTAATAATGTGTGTACTTTTGTGCTAGAGATATTGCTATACAACAATGAAAAGAGTTTGACAATCTTGCTAATTCTCAAGTAGATTAAACATTAAGCAATTCTTCATTATGTCAGACAACCAAACGCCAACATAAACTACGAAGAAAAGAGTTGGGTAGTGAAAATTCTGTCACAAGTAACTCCAGTCATCATCAGTTCCAGTGAACACAAATAAAATTGACCAATCTAAGTAACAGATATTTTGTAAATAGGCATCTAGGATTTCACTGTCACTAATAGATAATAATGAGACTATATGAAATAGCCTTGCAATTGACCGACTAATGTTGATCTAATGGGTGATGGATGAACATGGAATGAAAACCCTGATCATGAGGTAATTCGAATCAGCGACCTACAGTTAGTACTAGACCAATGCTCTGTCATAGCGTAGATCATAGCGTATCAATCATATCACTATTAGTCTACCAATTCAAGGCTATGTCTGATAGTTTCACAAAGAATTAACAATCTACTCCATTCTTTTTAATTCAGGCTGATTTGAACTGACAAGAGAAGACACGATCGAGAAGCTAGTGTGATGTTAAACGGAAGTGGTGCGACAGCTGAGAGTAACACACAGTGACTGAAGGGAAGTTGCCACCTAGTTAGCAGCTGGGTTCTGTAGTTCATCCTTAGGTTGTTGGTTCACACCGTATAGCAAGTGATACTTTTATTTCACCTACTGTAGTAACAATATTAATAAAATTCATCAATCAGAGCAGTAAGCTACCTGATAGTTCAATACAATGGATTAAGCAACAATAAAAAAAGAATCTACATTTAACTAACTAACTGACATGGGAAATATCATCGACAAACACCACGATATGTAAGATTACTTGACTTTCACGGGCCAATTTACAGTAGATTTAAAGTGAATTGAGTCAATCAAGCTATGAGATTATATATAAATTTAAAAAAAGCTAACTAGTCCATGGAATTATTGCCTAACTGAATCATTTCTACAAAAAACTCTGCGGATCTAATTTTTTCAAGTTAATAAAATACAATAAAGTGACAACATTGTATAACTTGTATTATATGAAATAAACAAACCACAGTACTCGTGTTCTACTTTTATTTAATAAACAGAATAAAGGAGGATACCAGTGACTGACTGATATGATTAGTTGGAGACTATTCAAACCAGATAACTAATTATCCTCACTGGTCAATCAGTGCTTTGTAATAGCTCTTCTACTTTGAATTTTCACACTACCTACGATCTAAGGCCAGTAGCATAACATTGTGATCTCAGCACTCTTAGTCTCTACGAGAAACAATAGTAAGAAAAGCAGTCACAGTTTGAATAATTTGAAAAAAACTAATTATTGGGAAAATGAAGATGATTAGAAGTCAGCCGCATCCACCATTATTGCCGTTATTAGATATAACGAGGAGTTAAATATTTCATACCTTTTTAGTCTTATTCTAAAAGTCTTTTTTTCTTTTACACAGAATGTCATCATTATCAGCAGAAGTGTGGCGTATGCTACTGACAAGAATCTATAAGTAGTATATCGTCTGTGTGTGTAACGTGCAAGAATCTTGAATAGCTGAGTGATGGATTAAGTTGTGAAGAGAAAAAATGAAAATGATAATTGGAAAACTACTATATAGAAAGTATAACCAGAAAAAAGGCAGAATACAAATAACTTTGGCTGGCTAATTGAAGTTTCTTCAATGTCACATTTTTGTATGTATCTTGCCACTACTACAACACATAATTTTGCCAAATAAATAATTCTGCTAGTGAATACCACTGCTGTGTGTTCTGTTGTCACAATTGGTATCGCTAACAGAAGTAATGCAGCTTTTTTGTCAATTCACCTCTGTCTAGCTGATATAAGATGTATGTGTCTATGTATGTATGTACATTTGACTTCCAAATAAAGAATAGTTTGATATTTAGGGTAATTTCTACTTATTTATTCAATATGGTGGATTGGTCTCTTTAATGGAAATGTTAAAATGGTAGTTAGCACAAAGTGAAGCCCTGTGATCCTTTCTTTTTCGTTGCTTGCCTTTCGAGTGGAACACAGAGCTTCAAGTGTTTTTTTTTTTAAGTTTCAGTAGTAATGAAGTTGTTTTCACGGGATAGGGTTTGCTAGCCTCACGACCAACCTTCCGCCTTTTCCGTGCTTACTACCACCGCCTAGGCGAGATTTAAGAGTATTTCGACTGGGAATCAAATTAGAAACGCGTGCGTGGTTGGCAGACACCCTAACACTGAATCACTGACACTAGGTCATTGGGCCACCTAATGCTTCTAACTACATTTTTAAAGCGTGTGTCCAATTCTTCCGTTTATGTAAAAGCATTTTTAAAGGCGTCGGCAACAACTTAGTTACGTGAAGAAAGTGGTGAGTTCTGTGAGTCTGAGGTTCATTTATTACCAGTTAAAAGATCTCTTCACCTATCCTATTCTGGTCAGCCACCAGACAGTCTCATCAGCCCTTACACAACAGGTGGGATCCATCGTTTAGTGTAGGGAGGTGGTGAACATGATAATTGATTTGAATTATTTACATTATGATTTTATGCAGATTTTTCAGAAATACTACAATTAAATACTCATAGGGAGTATCCATCATTACTCTACAATACACTGACTTCAATATTACTTCTGTAATAATGAACTTTTAGTCATTATATGAAAACTTCGAGATTCATACTATTTGTAAAAAGAAACTAGAGAAGAGACACTGTGTCCCAACAATCCTTTACAAGCTTCCCAGTTAAATATTTTACTTACCTTTTCCTGGATATGCAAATCTTTTAAAAACATTTCACTTAGTCAGTATTTTATTACAGCATAATTTAACTTAAGTCAAGTACGTATGATCTCTTCACACAGAGTTATAAACACTGTCGCTGTAATACCTATCTGAGGAACTGATATTTTAGCAAACTGATTTTAATGCAGTGGTGTTACGGCTGTAATTTAAACAAAAGGCAGAGTTGTAGTGAGCGCCACATTACCAGGCATAATCACTATTAACACCACAATTACACTTTCGATAGTCGAGTCTCCACCATTAAATTACTCTATTCGGTAGTATTATTATGAAACTAATCCTCTTTCTTAAAATCTACATGTCAGTGTCCAGCGTTACATACATTGGTTAATGCTTTGCATGTGTCAGTTATCAAGCAACACAACCGATTATGCTTCTAGAGATAATCATTATTATTCTCTAAGCTGATATTGAAACAATCCTTAATCGAAAATCTAGCCGAAATAACACTATAGAAAGAAGGCTATGTATATATAATGTTAAATTTAGTAGATAAATGGGAAACTATATAACGTATAGATAATTGATAGGACAGACTAATATACTTGGTCTCAAACCTAACTTATCTACATTCCACTAGTAGCATATCTGACTACAACGTCAGACACCATAGGTTCGAATTTTTTTAAGAACATAAATTCTGTAGGAATTTCAGATATCCCTTGTTGACAAAATACAACAAACAGAAAACTAGAGTCGATGAAGACTTAACGCTGACAACACCCAACCACCACCAGTTTATGCATAAAACAAAATTACACCCTCATGTCGAATCACTCAACCTTATGGTTTCATTGTAAACACACGTTTACAGCAGAATTCAGTTTGGATGTCAAATTAGAAGACAATATGACATTGGTTACCAACAATAGTCAAGGAACAACCACCCATACTTCAGTCATAACTCATACCTCACTGTACTGATATGCACCAGTTTGTCACAAAGAATTAAATCGAGGTAGTGTTTGATTGTTCAGCGGTAAACCATGAGTATTTGATACAGTTGAATAAAACACTACTAGAGTACGACTATCAAACTATGTAACCTAAACATCATATTAGAAATAACAATCAGTGTAAAAACTGAAATATCTGAAGACAAAAAATTAACTAAAAGAAATTATGCACTAATACTATTTTTCTCACTTACTTTAACTATCATCTGAATTTCTGTGTCACTAAACAATCGGCCATTTGATTTCACGGAACCTCCGGTTTGATTTTGTTGAGTATTGTTCGAATTATTATTATTATTATTGTTATTATTATTTTGGTAGTCATTATTGTTTTCACATTCAACTCTATGCCTAGATGAATAATTCCCCCCTTCATTTGGATCATTTTCTATACAATAAGGTAAATGATGAGGCTGATTATGATTCGATATTCCAATTTCTTGACTTGACTGATAATTTTTCATAGGTGTAAGTAAATTCCGATGAGAGTTCATAGAATTACCACTGGAAACATTTGGAAATTGTGAACCAACTAGACCTAATGAAGTATTCATATTTGAAGTACTCCCATGTTGAGCAGATGAAGATAATTGAGAGGGCAGTGCAGGAGGTGGTTGAACACCATGTGTACCAGTTGATACACCACGATGATTCAATCCTAATGAAGTGGTGGTGGTGGTTTGTGTAGGATTCGATGAATGATTATTTCGTTTATCGAAATATTTCATATTTTGACCAGAGGGATTTACTTCTCTGTGTACATTATCAACAATAGTAGTATTACTACAGTCTAAAATATCATTATGTAAAGCTGGATCCAATGAATCTGTGAAATGTGAGAAATAAAGTATACATCAGAGAAGAACCAAATTTATTCTATCAATGCCTTGAATAAATTCTTTATCATCCAATTGGAAAAATGAACAACAACATTTAACAACCTATATGCCTCTGGCTCCATAGAAGCAAATGAAAGCTTTCCGATACACAAGTTCGTCCTACAATCACGTGTCTTCAGGTTAAAAAAGAGAACATCAGTCGTTTCTGTTATTATTATTAGCCATGTTTGTTAAGTTTACAATACTAACGGATTAGAAGAAGAGACTGTGTCGCTTCAGTTGTCTGGGAAAATATAAAATCTAAACGACTAAGAGAAATAATCATTTCTGTGATGAAGAAAATACTGTGCATGAAAAATAAGTCCGTTCCAGCTCACTTACTTTTGTGGAAACAATTACATGAGTTGTTCGATGCGTATACATTCATTCCTAACTGGTCGGAGAATCAGTGGCTTTATCAAAACTGAAATCACATACTTCTATCATATATAAAATATACTGTCTTTGAGCTACTGGTCTGCCACTGCTCTTTCTACTCAATATATGTATCGACTCAAGACATGCTAAAAATAACTAATGAGTATTCAACATCCTATTGGTATGTCTGAGTCATCACTTCACAATGTACACTTACGCTATCCTGTCAGAAAGTATTTTAAAAATTGTAAATGGACCCCGTAAGCATAATCCTTTCACAAATTAAAAGCACAAAGAAAAATAGTTCCGCTTAACAGTCGACATAATGTAGAGCGCATGCAGTTTACGAGAACAATCAATGCCCAGATCAATACGTTATCATAAAATCCCTGCAGTTCTGAAACTGTTGTAATTTAGAGGCCAAACTGTTTCGAGTTTCAACAGTAGTAATTGTAGTATGCACTAGTTGTTTGAAAAGACCAGATGTGATACAGAAACATTTTTGTTAAAAGCAACTTAGACCTTTTAAAAAAGGTATACAACGGCTAAAAATAAGAGTAGGTAATGACACCCCATCCTAAGTACACTTCTTTTTTCTGTGCCTGAAACAAATAAACAAGAAATCACTGATCGTAAGACTGTGTACCTCTAAACTCATGCCTCCGCAACACTGATAAATTTTCTGTCTTCCAATTAGTCTGTCATACAAGCAAAACTGGAAAACTATCTTTGGGTGGAAGTGTGAACAGTTATACTGTAGTCAGACAGAATTGTCAATGTCATCCGCGCGTCACCTGACCTCGAGTCTTATGATTCGACGCTACCCGTTTACCTCTCTATAAAGGATTACAGTTTCAAAACTTGATTCAGAAACAGTTGAGTAATATAGCCGGTTAACATGTGAATTTCAAGACTCATTAACTAGTGCTCAAGACTATATGCCCAGGTTGTCAAGAGTGCCCATTAAACTACCTTTAAACCACTGTGCTAGCTAAATGAATTCCGTCTCGAAAATCCAAGACACTACTTTCCTGTCGATAGACTCTGGAAACGTGTCACAGTCACATACCATTTAACTTAATGACAGATTGGTGAAATTGACCGACACAATTAGAACATTTAAAAAGAAATGGCACCTACAAATTACTATTTCCAAACCAACCGGCGTGAATAATATGGTTATGAAGGGAAAGAATATGTAGGACACTGAAAAGATGCTTATTAAATCCACATCCGTATAGGATTAAAAAATTGAATGAGCGTAGCATCATACATTCATCAGCTCGGAATTCAGTGGTTCATATTCTTCTCCATCATTTCTTCAATTTCAATTATCATTTTTTTTCCTTCACGTTCCCCAGTGGAACATAGGGCTTCAAGCTAGTGGCTTGAAGTTTCTGTAGCAGTGTTTATTTTACAGGACGGGGTTGCTAGCCTCATGCCCAAGCTTTCCTCTTCACCAGCATTATTTCTGGCTTAGCGAGGTAAAGGAGTGCGTCGGCCGGGGATCGAACCCCGGACCATGTGCATGGTCGGCGAGCATCCTAACCGCTATACCACCGACGCAAATATCATATTTACTTTTGAATATTAACTAGTTTACTTGGTTGCTCAAGTTAAAAACCAATCAATCAATCATTCACAAACAAACACAATATGGAAACTTTGAATGTAATTTTCTGATTCGGTTTTTGCAAACACCTAAATGTCATTTTTACAGCTAATCAACTCAATCTTATGGAGTGATCGTAGTGTTTGAAGGCAGACTCATATACATGTGCACACACACACAAACACACATAACACAATAAAATATATTAGTTTAGGCTTATAATGTACTAAGATTAAAAGCCAACCTAAGAATGTTATTTAACGAAATCAGTTCTCACGACTGTGCACAAAAATATCTAAAACAAAAATCATAAAATTTGTGTTGAGAAAATAAAAGTGTGCAACACTAGAGTTTCAAGTTAAGTTGACGATTAAATGTTCAGTATTTGGATTATCTTCAACAGATACCTAGTTGGTATGACCAATACTTGAAAGGTACGACAATTATTTGGTAAGATTATCCCTCCGGTAGCTATGTGTCCTCTACACTTTAAACTGCGTATATAAATTTGAGTGTGTTTGTGGAAGCAAATACACAGGTCTTACAGAAAGGCGATTGTCTACTCGCATGATGGAACATTTGCTATTCATTCACTGTTGTCACCAGACAAACAAACAGGAAGATGCTTGCAACTGAAGAGGCTTGGCCAATCAGAGTTTATAAACCAGGTGTCTTTGTGTACAAAAGGAAATGGTGGTCACTGTGAATCCACCATGATAATATGTTCTATTTATTAACTGTATTAACATTATTATTGTTAATAATACTTTATTCTCCTGTTATTATTACTATTTCTGATTCGTTTAAAACTATCCTTTATCATTACTATTATCTTAACTCGTTTTAACATTTATTATTATTGTATTATTATCAATATTATTTAGTTCGAAATTCTTGATATATTAAAGTTCTTTCACTCATTGATAACTAATTGTTTATTTAAGTGATGTAATTGGATCGTAATGCATTTTATCTCAATTTTATATCTCTGTATGTAGAGTATCCAGCTGAAGAGTAGTTCTGCCGAAATTTGATGAATTCATTATATCCTGCTTTATTAACTTTTGTTGCTTTTTTTATAAACTTTAACGTTGAATTCAGTATGGGGATGATAACTGAATATGAAAAATGGGTCTAAAACTGAAGCAAGCTATGCAGCTGAATGCTTCAAATAGCACTGCGTTACATCACCTACATCCCTGAAGAAAGAGTAAGACTTTCAGATACATTGAACTCTGTAGTAGTTCAAGTTGCCACACTTCATGTAGCCCACAAAAGTAGAGAAAAGAAGATAAAGGAATTTAAAAAGAACTATAATGAGCAGAAGTATACGGGAGAAAGAATAGTAACGTGGAAAAACAAGACGGTTTTGTTGACATAGGAGATAGCAAAGCGTGAATGCATCTACGCCATCATCGAGAACGATTTTGAGTCACATCACCAATTGTCTCCAGCCATTGGTTGTTAGCATCCTGAGGACCCCAGTCAAACAGCCTACACTTCCCTACATGGCTCAAACCTACAGTCACAGATTTCATGAACTGATGACACGTTTTGGTTTGACCATTGCTAATTCTTTTCCAACGTAATCCTATGTCGGTTAATGTTATCTGTCGAGGAAGGAAATGGCTTGGGATGAGCAACACATGTCCTAGCCATCTCAGTCGATTCACTTTCACAACTTCACCGATTAACTTACCCTCCTTACCTAACACTCTACGCCTAAACTCAATACTGTTCGCCATATATTACCACTTAACTCGTAAGGTACGAGCTAAACATCTTTATTCAAAAGATAGCCTTTCATTTCTTCCACTTCCAGTGGTCATGTCTCACTCACAGACATAAAGGAGGACGAGACGAACTGGTGCGCAGTACAAATGTTCTTTGATTGATAGCTGGATATGACTCCTACGCCAAAGATGACATGAGTTGGTAAATAGCACACAAGCTTTTTGTATCCGTGCTGAGATCTTGTCAGCAATCAGACTATTAGGGTTGATGCAACTTCCAAAATAAGTGTTGTCAGCAGGATCAATCGCCTCTCTAAACTAGGAGTCTGTGCACACAAATGCTGCAGTATCATCTTACATTTAACAGGAGCGAATCACATGCCAAACACCCAAAGATTTCTGCTCATGATGTTTAGAAGACAGTGAATTTTATCAGTGTCTTTACCGAGGATAATATCATCCGAAAACTCTTAATCAATAAGACTGTACCCTGGTAATAAGTTAATCTGTGAGTCGTTCAAGTCGGTTAGAGTTAACTCCACTAAACACAAAAATGGGGATAGTGGGCATCCCTGACGGACACTACTGGTTGTCAACTCTTCAGATTACAACTTGTCATAAGCCTTTACACGGGTGCGTGAATTCAAGTTGAGTGTCTTAATTAGTGTGATTTACTTTCTCGTCACTCCCTTTACGACCAAACATTACCGTAGCACCTCTCGGTCTACAGAGTCGAACGCCACCTTCAGGTCAAGAAATATGTCAAGTGTTGGACGCCGTTAAACATATCCATATTCCAGAATGTATCGAAGGGCGAAGATATGGTCAGTACACTCTCTTCCTGACCTACGACCTACCTGGCTTTCCCGGGTCAAGGTTACCCCCCCCCCCTGTGATTATCACAGGATGATTTGGTTTTCCTTCTATGAACTTGGATAATCAGTGAATTACACCAGTCCAACGGAACTATCTGCGATTCACAGACATTACCTGATACCTTTGTTAACCCAGACAACAGTTTACCACCATCGTCCTTAAATACCTTTGAAGTCATTCCATCAAGTCCTGCTGCTTTGCTTCATTTCAGATTGGAGACAGTCTTTGTAATCTCAGTTTCAGATGGAGGACCGATGTAGGTGTTGGATGCTGGGCAAGTTGACCGTGGCTGTAGGCCAGTTAAACAGCTCCTCGAAATCTTCCCTCTAATGTCCCAATCGTTTATCATGAAAAAAAATTGAGGAATACGAACACAACGATGAGTTCAATTTCCTAGATCTAAATGTAAAAAGAAGAGACGATGGAACGGTCGAGAAGTCCATCTACAGAAAAGAAACTTGGACCGGACAATACCTTCACTACAACAGCTTCTGCCCTATGAGCTATAAGCGGAGATTAGTAAGGACACTGTACGACAGGGCTAGGAAGTTATGTTCGCCCAACAAGATAGAAGAAGAATTAAGCTTCGTTGAAAAATGCCTTAAGGAGAACGGGTATCCAAAAGGATTTATCCTAAAGTACAGCAAAGAAAGAGATGAGAAAGAGAAGTATCCAACAGTTGAAAAGAAGAAAGTATTCATTTGCCTCCCATACAAAGGAGAAACAGTATCGCAAAAGATTGAAAAAAAGGATGAAAGGAGCAATCAAGAGATGCTTCCCTGCAGCCAATCTAGTGACACTATACAGTACTACATGCTCTATAAGCCAATCGAAACTGGATAAATACCCTGCTGATGTTACCTCCAACTGCATTTATAAATTTACGTGCACCTGCGGCAGCAAGTACATCGGAAGGACAGAAAGAAGGTCTTCTATCCGGTTTTCAGAGCATATTCCGAGAAACTTATGCTTAAAAGGAAGCAAATATTTACAAAGTGCAATTACCAGACACCTTGTGGATACAGGCCATTTTGTTGAGATTTCCAAATCCTTCAAAATATTAAACATACAAAGGACAGCGAATCTGCTACGATTTGCTGAAGCAATTGCAATCAAACGTCTCAAACCAAACTTATGCACACAGAAAGAGAGTGTAGTCAATCTCTCACTCCCTTGGTAACCATATCACTTTCATTACAGTGATTACTCATAGACACTAGTGAGTTCAACTCACTAGGCAAGTTTTCAAATTGATGAACTTTGACCTTGTTGAGTTGCCATGTTGACACTGTTTATTAGATTTTTCTGTTTTCTGTCTTCTCTCACCCCCCCCTTTTTCTTTCTTTTTTCCATAGTTTGATAGTATATAAATTGATGGTAACTTAAACTACAAAAAGTTGTAATCCTTATATTCCGGATGCGTTTATCTTATAATGCTTTCTGTATTACCTTTCAAACAATGAAGTATGAAGTGTTATTAATTATAACCATTGTAATTTCAGGTAGTTTGCAGCTGATGAGAACCTGTGAAATAGAATGATATCATTTTATACTGCAAATCTGGTCTTTCTTTCTCTATCGAAATTGAGGAGCCGTTTTTTCAGAGATTACCTTTCACAAAATATTTCCCTAATAAGCCTTGCCTTAACCAGTGTAGATGAAGCAGCACTCACTAACCTTTCGTTTCACGTTATATATATATATATAAATATATATATATATATTTAATAATTTCTTACCTGCATGTTCATATACACTTGGATCTTCTATTTCAGAAAAACACTGATGTGGATTTTTGACAGGGATTATTTTATCGTGCGATACTTGTATCCATGATGGTAAATCAGATGGAATACTGTTAATCCAACGTTGAACATTCATCATACGTTCCTAAGTGGAGAAACAATAAAACAAAGGTGAATATTTTTTGCTTATGAGACCTAAAAGCTCTCAGTTTTCTATTCCCTTAAGAGATTATCATGACAAACTGTTAAGAACTCCCTGATTGAGTAAAGGAGTAAAATTCATTTTAAAAAAATCGTTAGTTTAATCAAAAGTAAGCCTTGAATTATACTAATAGAAATAGACATCCACGATCAAGTTGAAACGTGATCAAGAAGTCGGATGAAGTTAGACGGTGTATAACAACTCATTTGATTCTTATAATGATGGCTATAAAGTGATGCATTACCCCGACCGAAAGCTGCTACCTTGAGTGGTGGTCGGGCTTGAACACCGCAATGACCCAACAAGCTATACTGGCTGAGACTTATGTCGCTTGAGGTCCTACCATGCCAGAAAGGTTGTTTGGATAGCGGTTAGACAAAAAGCAGTTACCCAACCCAATCCTATGACTCAAAGTAAATCACAAAATATCATGCCGGATCAGTCGGGGCCCGGATTAACAACGACCGCGCTTTCTGCTGCCGTGTCACAGGGCAGAAGTGATAAATATGCTACTGAGACACACCAAATGAAAAACAAAAAACAAAACCAGGCCGTGTGTGACCGGCCTCAAGCAGTTGCCCCCTGGGCTCTGCGGTCACGCAACCAACTTCCACGGTGTGGGCAGCCGGGAAGTAACAATCGCCCTCACAATCCGAAGTGCACGCGAAATCTCTCTAATCCTCACTCATCTTTGTCTCCATCTTCATCTCTATTATCTTGCCTTCCTTCTACTAATGCAACTCCTCTACTTGATGGCTCTTCACTCTGTGTGCACTGAAAATGACGGAAGCCAGAAAGCCAACATCGATAGTCTCCTAAAGCCACGCTGCATTACAGGTTTTTAATGGTAGTCTTCTTTTATGATAAGGACTATATACTATATAATTTCCATCACAGAAAAGTACTTTATCATATAACCTTCGATATAACCCCAAATATCCGAATAGCTTGTCACTAATAAAGGAGAAATTAAGACTAGTACACTGCAATATTATCTCAGTGACGACGAAAAGGTATAGCGAATCGCTACACAATATTGTACAGCGATCATCCAGGAAATTCCTTTAGTGTTCAGACCTTCAAAGTGACTATTTAGATAACCAATAAGACTGCCTACATTAAAGTATCACTTCCTTTGAAATTAAGAAAGTACCTCAGTTGATTTTTCTTTTCATGTTAATCTCCAACTTAAGTGTCAACATTTAAATGCTAACCAAAGATAATTGATTAAATAACCAGTATGATTACTAAACTACATGTACAAAACAAGATACTGTCATAAGGTGCCATCTGCCAAATGACTGTCAACATAAATAGACATGTTTTAACCCTTTCTAACTCAGGTATCCTATATAAAGCACAAACATTGCAAATTATTACTTAATAATAAATAATAATCTAAAAATATGGGTATACAAAGGACAAATAATTAACTAATTACTTGTTTAATTTCTTTTATTGTTATTGTCGATGTAAGCGTTGCAATGTTTACAAATCAAAGACAAATGCACGCACACGCATACACACAAGCAAATACAGATATCAAGAAGATTGAATTAGAGAACATATAAAAATAATAGAAACCAATGCGTTGATACATTGAAATATATAGTGAATCAAAACAAAATTATTGTCAAACTTTGTTTGAACAAGTAAAAATGTATATAAGACTTTAAGGTGAAACTCTTATTCAATGGAGTTTGGAAAGCTCTGCTCTATTGCGAGTACATCGTTAAAGGCACTTAAGGTAGTTAAACCTTAAAGGTGAGAGGAATGAGATAAAAGAAGGAAGAAAAGTTTGAAGATGTGTTTTTCACCTCACAAGTAGATATTACTCCTTGATGAAAAATATGCTGCATGTGAAACTGTTGAGTCAGTCAGTGAATATGTGAGAGCTGTCTACTAGCCAAATTGGTAGACAGTAATTTACGTCAATATTTACGTTCCCAAGATTTGTCGTGAGAAAATGTGAACAAAGATTGATTCAAAACCTACCACAGCAGACTTTGCGTAGGCTGCTGGATTCAACATAGAACTTGGCACCGAAGTGCAGCAGTTCGAGTTGCCACGATGCAGTTAACATATAGAGGATTTGACATTGAAGAAACAGTCACAAATAGATGAAAGATTAACTTTACGTGAGAAACAACCAATCGGAAGACTGTGTTTGTTTGCTTAAATGTCCATAGTAATGTACATGAAAATATATAAATATGCGTTGATTTCCTTAATAAATGATCTGTTGCCTGACCCTTGCCTTCTGTTGTTACAAATATCTTCAATCTATCCATGAAGTTAAAACAAGCTTGATGAGCTGATGTTTAACAAAATCTATGAATGAATGCTACAAAACTTTCGACAGCCATTCCTAAACTAAGTTATTGTTGCGAGGGTGAGATAACAAGATCATGGTTTCAGTTACAGGAAGTGTACTGAGCAGCAGTATCCACCGTCCTAATATGCCGTTGTGAGACACTGCTATTGAAGATAGGAGACATTTGAAAAGTTATTTATTTATTTATTTATTTATTTTTATTTTGGTTACAGCTTGATGCCACACCGTATTTTCAGTACAAGTATGACATTTTCAGCATGGATATCGGTAGCCCAAATTTTACAGGCCAACCATAGATATCGGGTGTGCGTCGGCAGGGGATCGAACCTCGGACCACGTGCATGGTCGGCGAGAGTCCTAACCACTGTGCCACCGTACGCCCTATTTAACTAGCTCCGCACGGGCAAATAATTTCTTCTTCCATTGAAGAAATTATTTTAGGAATTCAGCTATGCCTCACATCTACTATATTTAAATTCCAAGGCAAAATATATAGACAAACTGAAGGTGTAGCAATGGGATCACCAATATCCCCTATCGTAGCAGATATATTTATGGATAGCTGGGAAAATATGGCACTTAATACGTTTAATCCTACTCCAAAAATATGGTGGAGATATGTGGATGACACTTTCACAGTGTTAAAAACAGAACATATCTCTAGTTTCTTGACACACATAAACTCACTAGTGGAGGGGATAAAATTCACATTTGAATCGGAAGATGAACAAGGAGAGTTAGCTATGCTAGATTGTAAAATAAAACGAATAGAAGAAGGCAAACTACACACTAGTGTTCATAGAAAACCAACGCATTCTAATAGATATTTAGATTTTAATTCGTCGCATCCGTTAACTGTTAAGGCAGGCTTAGTTA